TGACATGTATAATTTGTATGCATTCTTATCAAGTTAATTTTATTTCATTGATTTCTTTTTTCTTTCCTCACGTTTATGTATTCATGTGTTTACATGTCTTTATGTATTCAATACAACATGTATGACTTGTACTAATAACATTCTGGAATAAGGGCAATGTGAAGTCGTTTCATCTTAGCGTATTGCTGTTAATGGTTCCCAGTTTATGTAAAACTTTAAAAAAAAAAGAAAAAAAAAGACTTCTTACTGGTAATTCATCTAGAACTGAGAATATTTACAGTAAATCTACATGACGTTATTGGCATATGCTCTTATTTGGAAGAAGATCTGTGTGTTATTCAGAGAAGCGTGTAAATGAGCAGGACAGACTCACACCATCATCATCATCACCACCATCACCACCATCACCAATCATCATCATCATCATCATCATCATCATCATCATCATCATCATCATCATCATCATCATCATCATCAATAATCTCCTGACACACAAACAGTGTCAGCGATCGTCAGTTCTGAGTGTGTGTGTGAGAGTGTGTGTGTGAGTGTGTGTGTGTGTGTGCGCGCACGTGTGTGTCAGTGTGTTTGTGCGTGTCAGTATGTGTTTCAGTGTGCGTGTGTGTGTGTCAGTGTGTGCGTGCGTGTGTGTGTGTGAGTGTGTGCGCATGTGTGTGTGTGTGTGTGTGCGTCTCTAATGCTGAGAGTTGTCCTCTCCCTCTTCCTCCTCCTCCTCTTCCTCCTCGGTCTCCAGGTTCTCCAGGATCTCCTCGGGCCAGCGCAGTTCTCCGCTCTCCACTTCTCCTTCTGTCGGCTCCACCACGATCGACGGCAGCCGGTCCTTCAGTTTACAGCAGCGCTCGAAGTCCGACGGGTCCGGGAAGATCTGACACACACACACACACACACACACACACACACAGAGAACAGGAGTTTGCCTTGTCCAAACACACACACACACTTCTGCTCTTTACATGACGTATTTTCTCTATAAGGCGTAAAGATTGCAAGTGTGTGTAGAAGTTTTGATTACTCGAGACTTGCAAAAAATGCAACTGTTTAAAGAGCTTTTATTTATTATATTTTCAATACTGATGATGGACAGACGCACTTTTATAGACTTCAAAACAGAAACGGACGATCACTGCCATCATAAAGCTTGGAAGAGCCAGGACATTTCTAATATAACTCTGTGTTCGTCTGAAAGAAGAGTGTCATATACACCTAGGAGGACTTGAGGGAGAGTAAATCATGGGCTAATATTCATTTTTGGGTGAACTACTCCTTTAACTGGAGTGATAAACACAGGCCTACACACACCATACTCATCTTTGCACCAATAAAATGTGCAACACTATGTTTTTACTACCAATTTATATATATCTAATTAATTTAAATTACAGTGGAATGTTTTCCTCGACCTCTCGTGATTTTAAGGCACATGAGTTCCCGAACTTAATGCATGATGGGATACGCGTAGCTCCGAAACGGTATTGTGTATGTGTATTTGGACAAGCATCTATCTTTCTTCCTGACGTCCAGAAGTCTCGTTTCGACCGAGTTCTGCGTGTATTTTTAGCTCGCCATCATTCAGTGACATACATGGAAACCAATAACACCATCTGGGCAACACGCCAGTGGAAAGAACATTAGAACGTGTGTGTGTGCGAACGATGAGAAAGAAAACCGATGAAAAGAAAAGCACAAACAGAGCCAGAGATGTTCTATAACTGGATCCGGAGCATGAGACCCTCGTCTGACCCTCGATCCACAGACACCAGCAGAGCCTGAGACTCGACATCAGAGCCTGAGACTCGACCACAGAGCCCGAGACTCGACATCACAGCCTGAGACTCGACCACAGAGGCGGAGACTTGACTATCAGAGCCTGAGACTCGACATCACAGCCTGAGACTCGACCACAGAGGCGGAGACTTGACTATCAGAGCCTGAGACTCGACATCAGAGCCCAAGACTCGACATCAGAGCCGGAGACTTGACCATCAGAGCCTGAGACTCGACATCAGAGCCGGAGACTCGACCACAGAGCCTGAGACTCGACATCAGAGCCTGAGACTCGACATCAGAGCCGGAGACTCGACCACAGAGCCGGAGACTTGACCATCAGAGCCTGAGACTCGACATCAGAGCCGGAGACTCGACATCAGAGCCTGAGACTCGACATCAGAGCCTGAGACTCGACCACAGAGCCGGAGACTTGACCATCAGAGCCTGAGACTCGACATCAGAGCCTGAGACTCGACCATCAGAGCCTGAGACTCGACATCAGAGGCGGAGACTTGACCATCAGAGCCGGAGACTCGACATCAGAGCCGGAGACTCGACATCAGAGCCTGAGACTCGACATCAGAGCCTGACACTCGACCACAGAGCCGGAGACTTGACCATCAGAGCCAGAGACTCGACATCAGAGCCGGAGACTTGACCATCAGAGCCTGAGACTCGACATCAGAGCCTGAGACTCGACCACAGAGCCCGAGACTCGACCACAGAGCCCGAGACTCGACATCAGAGCCCGAGACTCGACATCAGAGCCCGAGACTCGACATCAGAGCCCGAGACTCGACATCAGAGCCCGAGACTCGACATCAGAGCCCGAGACTCGACATCAGAGCCTGAGACTCGACATCAGAGCCCGAGACTCGACCACAGAGCCTGAGACTCGACCACAGAGCCGGAGACTTGACCATCAGAGCCTGAGACTCGACATCAGAGCCGGAGACTCGACCACAGAGCCGGAGACTTGACCATCAGAGCCTGAGACTCGACATCAGAGCCCGAGACTCGACATCAGAGCCTGAGACTCGACCGAGACTCGACATCAGAGCCCGAGACTCGACCACAGAGCCGGAGACTCGACATCAGAGCCCGAGACTCGACATCAGAGCCCGAGACTCGACATCAGAGCCCGAGACTCGACATCAGAGCCCGAGACTCGACATCAGAGCCCGAGACTCGACATCAGAGCCTGAGACTCGACATCAGAGCCGGAGACTCGACCATCAGAGCCCGAGACTCGACATCAGAGCCCGAGACTCGACCACAGAGCCTGAGACTCGACCACAGAGCCTGAGACTTGACCATCAGAGCCTGACACTCGACATCAGAGCCTGAGACTCGACCATCAGAGCCTGAGACTCGACATCAGAGCCGAGACTCGACATCAGAGCCCGAGACTCGACATCAGAGCCCGAGACTCGACATCAGAGCCTGAGACTCGACATCAGAGGCGGAGACTTGACCATCAGAGCCTGAGACTCGACATCAGAGCCGAGACTCGACATCAGAGCCCGAGACTCGACATCAGAGCCCGAGACTCGACATCAGAGCCCGAGACTCGACATCAGAGCCTGAGACTCGACCACAGAGCCGGAGACTCGACCATCAGAGCCCGAGACTCGACATCAGAGCCCGAGACTCGACCACAGAGCCTGAGACTCGACCACAGAGCCTGAGACTTGACCATCAGAGCCTGACACTCGACATCAGAGCCTGAGACTCGACCATCAGAGCCTGAGACTCGACATCAGAGCCCGAGACTCGACATCAGAGCCCGAGACTCGACATCAGAGCCTGAGACTCCACATCAGAGGCGGAGACTTGACCATCAGAGCCTGAGACTCGACATCAGAGCCGGAGACTCGACCACAGAGCCTGAGACTCGACATCAGAGCGGAGACTCGACCACAGAGCCGGAGACTTGACCATCAGAGCCTGAGACTCGACATTAGAGGCGGAGACTTGACCATCAGAGCCTGAGACTCGACATCAGAGCCGGAGACTCGACCACAGAGCCGGAGACTTGACCATCAGAGCCTGAGACTCGACATCAGAGGCGGAGACTTGACCATCAGAGACGGAGACTCGACATCACAGCCTGAGACTCGACCACAGAGCCGGAGACTTGGACCATCAGAGCCTGAGGACTCGACATCAGAGGCGGAGACTTGACCATCAGAGCCTGAGACTCGACATCAGAGCCGGAGACTCGACCACAGAGCCGGAGACTTGACCATCAGAGCCTGAGACTCGACATCAGAGCCGGAGACTTGACCATCAGAGCCTGAGACTCGACATCAGAGCCGGAGACTTGACCATCAGAGCCTGAGACTCGACATCAGAGGCGGAGACTTGACCATCAGAGCCTGAGACTCGACCACAGAGCCTGAGACTTGACCATCAGAGCCTGAGACTCGACATCAGAGCCGGAGACTCGACATCAGAGCCGGAGACTTGACCATCAGAGCCTGAGACTCGACATCAGAGCCTGAGACTCGACGTCAGATCCTGAGACTCGACATCAGAGCCCGACATCTGAGCCCGAGACTCGACCACAGAGCCCGAGACTCGACATCAGAGCCCGAGACTCGACATCAGAGCCTGAGACTCGACATCAGAGCCTGAGACTCGACATCAGAGCCAGAGACTCGACATCAGAGCCCGAGACTCGACCACATAGCCCGAGACTCGACATCAGAGCCCGAGACTCGACATCAGAGCCTGAGACTCGACCACAGAGCCAGAGACTCGACATCAGAGCCTGAGACTCGACCACAGAGCCAGAGACTCGACCACAGAGTCTGAGACTCGACATCAGAGCCTGAGACTCGACCACAGAGCCAGAGACTCGACATCAGAGCCCGAGACTCGACATCAGAGCCTGAGACTCGACCACAGAGTCTGAGACTCGGACATCAGAGCCTGAGACTCGACATCAGAGCCCGAGACTCGACCACAGAGCCCGAGACTCGACATCAGAGCCTGAGACTCGACATCAGAGCCCGAGACTCGACATCAGAGCCCGAGACTCGACATCAGAGCCCGAATCTCGACATCAGAGCCTGAGACTCGACCACAGAGCCAGAGACTCGACATCAGAGCCTGAGACTCGACCACAGAGCCAGAGACTCGACATCAGAGCCCGAGACTCGACATCAGAGCCCGAGACTCGACCACAGAGCCCGAGACTCGACCACAGAGCCCGAGACTCGACCACAGAGCCTGAGACTCGACATCAGAGCCTGAGACTCGACATCAGAGCCTGAGACTCGACATCAGAGCCTGAGACTCGACCACAGAGCCAGAGACTCGACATCAGAGCCTGAGACTCGACCACAGAGCCAGAGACTCGACATCAGAGCCTGAGACTCGACATCAGAGCCCGAGACTCGACCACAGAGCCGGAGACTCGACATCAGATCCTGAGACTCGACAACAGAGCCTGAGACTCGACCACAGAGCCAGAGACTCGACATCAGAGCCGGAGACTCGACATCAGAGCCGGAGACTCGACATCAGAGCCCAAGACTCGACCACAGAGCCCGAGACTCGACATCAGAGCCTGAGACTCGACATCAGAGCCTGAGACTCGACATCAAAGCCTGAGACTCGACCACAGAGCCAGAGACTCGACATCAGAGCCTGAGACTCGACATCAGAGCCCGAGACTCGACCACAGAGCCCGAGACTCGACCACAGAGCCTGAGACTCGACACCTGAGACTCGACATCAGAGCCCGAGACTCGACATCAGAGCCGAGACTCGACATCAGAGCCTGAGACTCGACACATCAGAGCCTGAGACTCGACATCAGAGCCGGAGACTCGACATCAGAGCCTGAGACGACTCGACATCAGAGCCTGAGACTCGACATCAGAGCCTGAGACTCGACATCAGAGCCTGAGACTCGACCACAGAGCCAGAGACTCGACATCAGAGCCTGAGACTCGACATCAGAGCCCGAGACTCGACCACAGAGCCCGAGACTCGACATCAGAGCCTGAGACTCGACTGACATGAGCCAGAGACTCGACATCACAGCCCGAGACTCGACATCACAGCCCAAGACTCGACATCAGACCCGAGATTTGACATCAGAGCCCGACATCAGAGCCCGAGACTCGACATCAGAGCCTGAGACTCGACATCAGAGCCCGAGACTCGACATCAGAGCCTGAGACTCGACATCAGAGCCCGAGACTCGACATCAGAGCCTGAGACTCGACCACAGAGCCAGAGACTCGACATCAGAGCCCGAGACTCGACATCAGAGCCCAAGACTCGACATCAGAGCCCAAGACTCGACATCAGAGCCCGACATCAGAGCCCGAGACTCGACATCAGAGCCTGAGACTCGACATCAGAGCCTGAGACTCGACCACAGAGCCTGAGACTCGACATCAGAGCCTGAGACTCGACATCAGAGCCCGAGACTCGACATCAGAGCCCGAGACTCGACATCAGAGCCTGAGACTTGACATCAGAGCCCGAGACTCGACCACAGAGCCCGAGACTCGACATCAGAGCCCGAGACTCGACATCAGAGCCTGAGACTCGACCACAGAGCCAGAGACTCGACATCAGAGCCTGACTCGACATCAGAGCCTGAGACTCGACACAGAGCCAGAGACTCGACATCAGAGCCTGAGACTCGACATCAGAGCCTGAGACTCGACCACAGAGCCAGAGACTCGACATCAGAGCCTGAGACTCGACATCAGAGCCAGAGACTCGACATCAGAGCCTGAGACTCGACATCATAGCCCGAGACTCGACCACAGAGCCGAGACTCGACATCAGAGCCCGAGACTCGACATCAGAGCTCGAGACTCGACATCAGAGCCTGAGACTCGACCACAGAGCCTGAGACTCGACATCAGAGCCTGAGACTCGACATCAGAGCCTGAGACTCGACATCAGAGCCTGAGACTCGACATCAGAGCCTGAGACTCGACATCAGAGCCCGAGACTCGACATCAGAGCCTGAGACTCGACCACAGAGCCTGAGACTCGACATCAGAGCCCGAGACTTGACCACAGAGCCTGAGACTCGACATCAGAGCCTGAGACTCGACATCAGAGCCTGAGACTGGACATCAGAGCCTGAGACTCGACATCACTGTATCACTGTATCATCGAGTATCACAGTGATCAAGAGCTGAGAGTCAGATATGATAATGAGCGTTTGCTTTCTGACCAATCACAGCAGAGCAGCTCTCAGAGAGGCGGGGCTTAGAGAGACGAATCTTCACAGAAGCGTTCAGACACTGAGAGACAGAGCTGAAGCTGCAGTGGAGATTATGGGGAAAATAAAGTGTTTTTGACCTTTGATGAATGTAAACGTTGTAGGGGAAAATAAAATTCGACAATTAGGAACCTTTAAAATAGCATAATAGTGGGACTTTAAAGTGTTATGAATTCAAATGATTAGACATCCTACCTTGTTTATTAAACCATAAAATCAGAAAAAGCTGAATCTGGAAAAAACAAAACTGATTTGATAAAGTCGTGTGTGTGTGTGTTAACTCTTCTGAGATCTGAAAGTTCATGGTATCCTCAAACACGTCTCACTGCAGCGTGTGTGTGTGTGTGTGTGTCAGACGTTACCTGGAAGGTGAGTCCGGTCTTTGCTGGGACTGAGCCTCATGTCGTCCATCGATGTGGAGCTGATCATCACGTCAGTCATCGCGGCACGCTGAGCTGCGCACACACACACACACACATTCAACAATATTATTGATCTCCTGCATTGACAGCATTATAGGAGAACTGAACTGAGCTGGACGATGACATCACGGTTTTCTCCAGAGCTGCTGTATATATAAATGAACTAAATTAACTGAACTGACTTAAGCTGGACTGTGACTCTATTCTCTTCTGGAAACAAACTTTGTTGCATTATTTTCCTGTTATCTCTGTAAAGCTGCTCTGAAACACTCTGCTGTAAAAAGCGCTGTATAAATAAAGCTGACTTGACACACACACACACACACACGGCAGAATTAGTCTGAGATCAGGATCTAGAGCATCTGTGTGTGTTTGCGCTGGACGCTGAGACTCATTCTGTGTCTGCACTTAGGAAACTACAGTAAGCTTGCAGCCTCTCCTGCAACAGGCATGTTTCTCACTCACACACACACACACACACACACACACACACACACACACACACACACACACACACAACACACACACACACACACACACACACACACACACACACACACACACACCACACACACACACAACACACACACACACACACACACACACACACACACACACACACACCACACACACAACACACACACACACAACACACACACACACACACACACACAACATCATACAGGAAGCTCTTCATGAGGCGTCCTGAAGCTCCACCGCAGTGGAAACCCCCGAAACACAGCAGCTCTTCTGCATCTGAACCCAAATACACACACGCACACACACACACACACCGACACACACTCTCCTGCTCAGAAACACTGAGAGACTGAACACACACGAACACACACTGAACGAGTCTCTGCTGTTTCCACTGAAGGTGAACTGGGGAACTAATGCAGCGGAGTGCAGGAGTCGAACGCTAAACATGATTGAGATCCTCATTAAGCTAAACATCTGAAACACACACACTGAACACACACTGAACACACACATTGCATAACGGCTAACACTAAAAACAAGACGGCGTCAGCGGCTTTATCCACCAGGACCGGATTATCCCCAAATCTCCCAGACAAAATTTAACTGAATGAAAATATCAACCTTTACCTCGCTTTACACACCTTTCATTTCACTAATGACCAATCACACATCTGTGTGTGTGTGTATGTGAGTGATGGGTAGGTTTAGGGGTCAGAGTTATTGTGTGTGTGTGTGTGTGTGTGTGTGTGTGTGTGTGTGTGTGTGTGTGTGTGTGTGTGTGTGTTTGTGTGTGTGATGGGTAGGTTTTAGGGTCAGAGTTATTGTGTGTGTGTGTTGTGTGTGTATGTGTGTGATGGGTAGGTTTAGGGGTCAGAGTTATTGTGTGTGTGTGTGTGTGTGTGTTTATGTGTGTGATGGGTAGGTTTAAGGGGTCAGAGTTATAGTGTGTGTGTGTGTGTGTGTGTGTGTGTGTGTGTGAAGCTCACTGGTAATTTCCACTGGCTTCAGGTTCAAACGACAGGGGGTCAGGGGTCAGAGGTCAACTGTACGAACCGAAGGGCCACTGCACGGTTCTGCTGTATAACCTCTGACCTCTTCCGACAGCGGTCACATGATGCGCTCAGGCTTCACACTCATCGGATTTTCCACAGTTCCAAAAAACCAGTCCGCATTGATTTAGCGGCACCAGTGACACCAACACGAACCCCTCTCGAGTCTCTACGGGTCACACGCTGCCCTCCCCGCCCGAACGGGGTCGGTCACATGACCGTGTCGAGATCACACGCCGCTGCGCTCCACCACACAACACTCTCAGAATGAGTGAACAAACCAAACTAGAACACGTCAATCAGATCGCACGCATTAGAGCCAGTGATCCACTTCACCCCTCCGTCTGAATAAAACACTGATTATATATTTAATAACTTCAGCGCTCATAAACACACTCAACTAAACATGTAAAGCTTGTGACACAGCGAGTGTGTTCTCCATCCACAGTTGGGGATTTATCTATGCACATTAAAGGAGAACTCCGGCGCAAAATGAACCTTTGGTCTAATTACACATTGTTTATTTATTTATTTCAGGTTTATTTAACAGGGACAATGCACACTAATGATACATAATTAAATGTACAGTGTGCCAGATTAGCCAATAGGCCATTTTACATCTACTGTCCCTGGACAGATCTTAATATGTCACACCTAAAAACAACAACAAACAACAAACAAAACAATATAGCTGGGACAATAACTAACAACAGAGGTTTCACCTATCTAAACACAAAAGCACACAATGAGCTAGCCAACCACATTGGCATAGCACAAGAGGCACAAACAAGTAGGGTTGCCACCGTTCCGTATAATACGGAATCGTTCCGTATTTGACACATAAAAGGCTTGTTCCGTATTGAACTGATACGGAACGCACTTTGTTCCGTATTTTTGAGAATCAATTCAGTGCAAATCCATGACAGACGCATAGCTTCTAATATAATATGTCAGACAGACTATGATGAATGAACGAAGACCCGCTGCATGCAAATTCGGGGACTTGGCGCCACCTTGACGGGCTCTGACGTGTAATGACGTAGAGTTGTCTCATTGGTCGCACGTCAGAGGCGCCCACGCCATTGGATGTGCAGTTGCCGCAGCGCAGCCTGAGCGAGCCAGACGCTCAATGTGCAAGCTGTGCAGCTGCAAATGCATTTTACAGGCTTCAGTAAATCAAGTAAAATGTGTTTCCGAAGACATTTGTAGGCTATGATAAGAAAAACTTCCCAAAAAAATTTTTACAAATTTTTTGCACCGAAAAGCACATTCTAGAAGTCTAATTCTATTGAATAAGTTCGCACAAGGATACAGAAAACTGTTGTGTTTATTTTTCTTCAAATGCAGTCTAAGCCGATGAGTTTCGAATGTTATATGTTGTATTTGTTTAAGTTAAAAATAAAACGTATTATAATCTAAACAAATACATGGTTCATTTGTGGCAAAATGATCATGATAGCCTTTATATATGTGGTTAAGTCCTGTATATTGATTAAGCCTACTTTGCTATTCTATAAATATATAGGCCTAATAAGTTGCATTATAATATGATATAAAATGTATGATTTTATGTATGATGTATGGTGCTGTGCTCACAACCTGGCGCAATACAGGAGGAGCCAGTCCATGCTGAATTTTGTACACAAGACAGAGATCTGCATATATAATCAAGTTTTCGAAATTCAATAGATTATGATGATAATATATGGATTTCCTATCGAGTACTTTAAGAGTTTCTTATATAGGGATAGGAATGGTTTAAGAGAAGTGTTGCTAGCTTGTGACCAGATTGTCAAACAATAGGTGATATGAGATAAAATCATGGAGTGCATGAACATCATAGCGGCCCTTTTTGACATGCAGCTACGGACATATCTAAAATTTGCCAGGTTGTACTTAATGTGATTACAAACCTTCTTAATGTGTAATTTAAAAGTAAGATTGTTATCTATGTAAACTCCAAGATATTTAAACTCTGAGACGACTTGTAGTCTCTCCCCTGCTTCGACTATATCAGGTTCTACACAGCGGCTTTTAGATTTACTTAAAAACATACATACAGTTTTGGATACATTCAGTTGAAGACAATTGTGATTTAACCATTCTGTGATCTTTTGCATTGAGTTTGATAGCAGATCAGCAGCTTGAGCTGCACTGTTAGCATGTACAAAGATTACTGTGTCATCTGCATACATTTGAGTATTGACATTAGGACAAACATTTACATACAATGAAAATAAAGTGGACCCAAAATAGAGCCCTGTGGGACCCCTGCAGATAAGGAAATTACCCTCGATTGATGATTCCTAACTCTAACGAACTGAGTCTGATGTGTTAAATAAGATTCAACCCATTTAATAGTGCCTGTATTTTCAACTTAGATAAAAGAACTCCGTGATTAATGGTGTCAAATGCTTTTTTTAAATCTAAGAAAACAGCACCAACAACCCCTCCTCGATCCAACTGTAACTTAACTTTGTCCACGAAATAGCAATTGGCTGTTTCTGTTGAATGATTAATACGGAAGCCAAATTGATATGGATGTAGAGAGTAGGAACTAGTATTTAAATGATTTATCATTTGTTCTGAGACAAGTTTTTCGGCCACCTTGGAAACCACCGGCAGGATACTAATAGGTCTATAGTTACAGATGGACAAACGATCACCTCCTTTGAACAGAGGAAAACTGCTTGAAAGACTGTTTTTCAAAGATGGCTCCTGCCTGTATACGCGAAGTGGACTGTCTTTATAAAGTATCTTCTTATTAAACTGTCTGGACTCTGGCAAAGTTCTCAATGCTTCGGTTTGCAGGTAGGGACCCCTCATTACGCTACCGTGTTTAGTGTGGGGCTATTTTGAGCCTTGTTAGGGGTATAACTAGCAATTTTTTTTTGCCATGACTCTATGCCCTATATACTAGCGTTATAGGCTAAACTGTTTTTAGAGATAAAACTCTTTACATTCGATAATCATGAAAACAAATCTCAGAGAACGGTTGACTAGGTAACAATGTGTAATTAGACCAAAGGTTCATTTTGCGCCGGAGTTCTCCTTTAAACACTGGTGAATAATGCAGTGTTTCCATCTCGTGTTCAAGAGAAACAAAATCATCACTAATAGAGAAACTGGTCTGGTGCAGAATATCAGAAATAAACTGAGTTTCGTAATCGGCTGTTTCCCTCCATCACAAACCAGTGTGTGTCGAGCGTCATCATAAACGAGTGTGTGTCGAGCGTCATCATAAACGAGTGTGTGTCGAGCGTCATCATAAACGAGTGTGTGTCCAGCGTCATCATAAACGAGTGTGTTGTCGAGCGTCATCATGAACGAGTGTGTGTCGAGCGTCATCATAACGAGTGTGTGTCCAGCGTCATCATAAACGAGTGTGTGTCCAGCGTCATCATAAACGAGTGTGTGTCGAGCGTCATCATAAACGAGTGTGTGTCGAGCGTCATCATAAACGAGTGTGTGTCGAGCGTCAGATGAACGAGTGTGTGTCCA